TTCTTCAGTGTAATTTTATATGTTTTTTTAGTTCATACTGCACATTTTCATTTAAGTCTTTAAAAAGTTTCATGTTAACTTTTTCTGCTTCCATTAAAAAGTTTAGGTTTGTGGCCTATAAAATACTTTTCTATTTCCTAGGTTATTTTATACTTCGTATTTCTGAAAAAAATACATAATAATTGAACCCATTAGTTTTAAAATTGTGATTCACATACAGTAACAATGATGTGAAATTGTCATGGCAACAGAATGGTAGTGAGGAGCACTGATGCTGGGGTGAGGCTGTGTAGATGTGAGTCCTGGTTTTTCACTCAATAGTTAATGTGACCGTCGGACAGGCATGTGACTCCTTTATGCCTCATAAAGTTTATTCATCTGTAAATGCAGCAAGTAATAATAGGTACTGTATAGAAGTGTTGTGAAAAACTAAATGAATTAGTATTTGTAAGACCCATGGAAAATACTATTTAAATATTTGCTTAATAAAATAATGTAAGTTAGCTGTGGTTCTGGACTTTCTGATTTTATTTTTCTATCTAATAAATGGAAATTTTAAACTCAGAAGTTTATACTAGCATTACTGAAATGTCAGTAGTCACAGTTGCTTGGAAATTATTTGGGAGAAAGGTGGTAGAAGTTACTATTTACTGTATAGTTACCAGTGTGTCAGAATGCAGTGTCAAAAGAAAGAACAACTCCCAACTAATACAGAATGGTGGGGGCTTTATCAAACAACCTTAGTTTATTTTCCACCTTTGCTTTAGATAGGAAGGTAAACCTTTTCACAGCAAAAGGTATCAAATTAATCATCATGACTCCACCAGCTCTTGACATAATAATTAATCCATATAAATTACCCAAGTGATATTAAGATATAATTTATATAATCTATGATGTGAGAAATCAGTTGTTTCATTATTCATCATCTATTATGGAATTTTGATTTAATTTAGTTTGTTGTATATTACTTTATGCTCTATTAACTTAATGATTTGAGCAATTATTACTTTTTATTTTTTGTCTTTTTGAGACAGGGTCTCACTGTGCAGTTCAGGCTGGCCGTGAGCTCACTTTGTAGCCCAGGGTGGTCTTGAACTCACAACGATCCTCCTGCCTCAGCCTCCCAAGTGCTGGGATTACAGGCGTGCACCACCATACCTGGCTGAGCAATTATTTATAGTTTGTGATATTAGGTGATAGGTTTAGTGTATATTATTAGATAATTCAAGTTGAAATGTTGACGGATATTATGGAAAATTCTGCTATTTTAATCTGAATGTTGTATGTAGTTTTATTATAATGCATTAATTTTCTTTCTACAGAATTCATATAAGAACAGCTATGAATATAATTCTCCATTGATAGAGTGGTATCATGGTTATCAATACTATTTCACATAGAATAGTGGTTACAGGTTCTTGACCCTCACTTTTATCACATATTTATGAATTTATGATACTCAAGGATTCTAATGAACTGAAGAAAAAAATAATCCTTTGATACTCTGCCATTGTGTATTTTTCCAAGACCACTGTGAATTACTTGTCTCATTCTATTGGTAATTTTGCTGTTGGAAATGCTTCACAGTTATTCCGGTCCTGACCTTATAGCATGTTCTCCTATTGTTCCTAGGAATTACAGTTTGAATATTATTATTTATTTGTATTTGTTCATGTGGATTTCCTTAGCCATTTCTCCCTAGACATTAAGGTTAGACTGGCAAAATCCAGTCAAGGGCTTTTATAGGAAGAGATAAATCTGGTGCACAGTTTCTGATTTGTAATTCCTCATTTCCAAAGCTTAAAAAGAACAACACATGTTTTGGCAGATCTGTCTTGAATTGACATGAAGTCTGTAGTGATTAAAATTAACTGCATTAAACTGATCGGCTTGCGAGCCACTTAAGGGATGAGTAAAGCATGCTTCTGGGTATATTTGGGTGAATCATAGAGGCACAACTTTGGGTGCTATATACGGTACCTTGCCTTGTCTTCTCTGGAACAGTTGATCTGGCTGCCATGAATTAAGCTTCTTTGCTCTGCTATACCCTTCTGCCTTGGAGGAGATTGTCAACCATGGACTGAATCACCTGAAGCCCTGAGCCAAATTAAACTATGCCTGTACTTGGTTTACATGAGTATTTTGGAAAGATTTTGGAATGCAGGCTAGATAAGCCCTAGAGTGTTGTGAGCAGATTTTGATGGGTGATTCTGGTCACAGATCAAATCAGAAAGGTGATAGGAATGTGGACAGGCTCACGAGGTTTCAGTTAGTTATGAGGATTCTTTTGGGAGTTACTACAGGCCATGAATGCTACTCTGAGCTAAAAAATTTATGTACATTTATCCCATGCCCTGAGACTGTAGGAGGCTGAGTTTAAGGATGATAGACTAATTGATCTCATGGAGAAAATTTCAAGACAGCCCAACATTAAAGCTGTGGCATGGGTAATGCTGAGTGCTGTCAGCCAAATGTACAGCAAGAACGAGGGGCAAAAGCAAAGGAGAATAATTTGAAAACCCTAAATATTGGCCTCCTAAAAGCCCACATATAAAGTTGGGGCCACAGTGGGTATGTTTTCATAGAAGAGATTAACAGCATTAAAAAGAAACCCGGTACTTTGTAGAAGAACAAGAAGAAAGATACCTTGACAGTATCTCAAAAATCAGCATGGTCCAAGCCATGGAGCTCAAGGGTGCAAAAGTGTAAACCTTATACTTACGAGTCTCCTTGGGCCTTCTGCTTGAGAAAAGTCACCTAGAGAATTGGTTTCCTTTGTTTCACTGTTCAGCTATCCATGCACTCGGAGGCCACTGTAACCATGGTTGAAGGGTCCTGGCTATAGTGTCAGATGGTGGAAGACTGTGGCATCATACATGTGATGCTAGTTTTATAGGCATGCAGAGTGTAACAGTTGTAGGATCATAAGGGCTTCCACTGCAATTTCAAAGACTTTGGAAGCCAGGCAAGGAGCCCTTGAGAGGGTAGTGCGTGAATTTGTGGGAATGAAGCTAAAAGTTCTTGGAGACACTATGAAGTTGGAAATACAAGGGATGTGTAATGTCTGCCAGGGAGAGCCACAGGAAGGGAGTGGAAATAGCTTAAGACAAAGGCCATGTGGTCTGCAACGGGCAAGACTATAAGGGTGGGGCTGCTCACACACTTTAGAACTTACATTATACTACCAGATGCTCCAAATGGCAGACATGGAGCTACAGGACTTAATGTTTGCCCTGCTAGGTTTTGGTCTAGTTTTGGTTCTATTGTTTTCTGTTTTCCTAGTCCTCCCTTTTGGAATGGGAATGTCTAACCTGTACCATTGTATATTGGGATTATTCGTTTTTTTTTTTTTTTTTTTTTTTTTTTTTTTTTTTTTTTTTTACTTTTATAGGAATTCGCAGTTAAGAGTTTGCTTTGAACCTCAAAGGAGACTTTGACCTGGAGATTTTAGCAATTCTAGAACTGTTGTCATATTGGGGAAGGGATTTTTATGTTTCAGTTGTATGTGGGATAGGTGTATCCTGTTAGGCAGAATTAAGACCTTGTATTTAGTCAGGGATGAAATGTAAGGAGATGTGTTTGGATGGCAAGTTAGTAAATAGTGGAATGCAGTGGTTAAGCTTATTTGTCAATTTAATTGGCTTAAGAGCCACCTAGGGCAGGGGTCTCCAACCTCTGGGTCATGGCCTGTTAGGAACCAGACCACACAGTAGGAAGTGAGCTGCAGCTGAGTGAGTGAAGCTTCATCTCTGCAGTCACTCCCCTTGCTTGAATAGTGCGTTATTGTCAAATCAACTGTGGCATTAGATTCACATAAGAGTGCAAAACTTACTATTAACTGTGCATGTGAGGGATCTAGGTTGCACACTCCTTAGAATCATCCTGAAACCATTCTCCCTTCCTAGTGCCCCCTCTGGTGTAAAAATTGTTTTCCATTGAACCACTTTCTGGTGCCAGAAATGTTGGAGACCACTGGCCTAGGGGATTAGTATAGCACACTTCTGAGTGTATCTCAGTGGGTCATGCAGGTGTGATCTTGACTGCTAAATATGGTTCCTGGCCTCTTTCTGGCACTGCTCCCCTCCTCTGCTTTCCTTGGCACCATTAACTAAGTATCTTTGCTGTGCAATGCCCTTCTGTCAAGGTGTTTCTGCCTTGGAGCCAGCTGTCCATGGACTGAGTCTGCTGAAATTGTAAGCCAAATTAAACCTCTCTTCCTTTTAAGTTGTGAGTATCTGGCGTTGTGTGTCAGTGATGGGAAAGCCGACTAATACAAAAATACTTACCATCTTTATGTATCTGCTTTATTGTGAATATTCATGCATATTACTGTGTAAATATTAATGGTTCATTTACAAGATGCTGTACAAGACCCTGATGGAGATATTATATAGTATATGCACTACCCTGTCTTTCTAAAATCTGGGAAAATCACATATTCTGAAATATATATGGCTGCAAGGGGTACATGTAACCTGTAATCACAAGCACTGTATGGCATGAGAATGTAAAAATTCTGTAATCTAGTTATGAATGTTAATTTTTACCCTTTTCTTTCAGATTACCTATATTCATAATACATCAATATTATTAAATTATAATTGGTACCTCAAATATCCTTGAGACAGATAATCATTGTTAATGTGGCTTGTCAACTTGTTTTAAATATTTGACTGGCTTCACACGTTATGGGCAGTGATGGTGAATTCTAAATTAACACAAGCAACTTAAACAGTTTCATGGCATTCTAGTACAATGACTCTATACAGAATGTTTTGGGATAATGATATCGTATATTGTATCTATATTCAGATTCAATTGAGGTTCTATAATCTTGCCTCAAAATCTTGGGAACAAATCTTTTTATATGAATTGTGTCATTGTTATAGTAGCATTTTTCATGTAGGGTATGTCAAGTACTAACCATAAAACACTTCAGTGAATGGTGTTAATGCTAGGTTGCTTGTAACAATCTAATTTTTAATTATTATTTGTAGGTATTTACTACCAGGGAGTACCCAATTCTTCATGAGAACCCCAACCTACAACATGAAATACAATGCATCTGGAATGACTCGATCCAATGTTTTGTTTACATCCCGATATGGCCATTTGTGAAATCCAAGGGAAGATTGCTGTAGGTTATGCATAATAGTAATTCATTTATTTCCTCAAGTTGAAACTGAAAAGAAAGTGACCATTAAGTGCTGTTCTATGTATATATGACATGTATATGTGTGAAAATACATACACACATTCACTCAAATAACATATATATTTATTATAATATATGAAAGAATTAGCAGAAGACTGAATGTAAGAGTTAGCCTTTCTGAAAATGTAATAAACTATGTTAAATGTTTACATAAATATGTGAATGTCTACAGTTTGCTAGGTTTATAATTGAGTCCTTCCTGCTAGAAATGTTATTTTTGCTGCAGAATATATAAAAAAAGAATTGATACTAAAGATCCCATTACAGTGTTAAATTATTTTTTAGACAACACAGCTTTTAACTTAAAGCATTGATAGTATAATACCTTATTATTTCTCTTATTCATATTAACTATTTAGAATAAAACACAAAAGATTTAGAAGCCTGGTGTTCCTTGACGATAGAATTAAATATAAAATGGGTTTATCATTATTGTAGCACACTGTACATTACTAGAATAATTCCAGCCTGATTCTCCAACATTTTAATTCCTCTGTGTGAAAATATAGCTACTTGTAATAATGTGCATTTTAGTGTGGTAAGATCATATTATGATCTAAAGTGGAAGACAATCCATTTGGTTAAAAGTAAAATGTAAATTCACATTTATTTTTACTTTTCATAGGGAGTCACATAAAGGAATAGAAAATATGGTACTGACAGAATCTTTCTGTATGACTTTTGTCTCGTGCCACTCAGTTTTATTTGGAAAATATCTTTCATGGGCTTGAATATATGTTTAAATGTAATTCTCCTGCAGAAGAGTTGACATGACAAACTCATTCTGGTATTATAGGATAATAATGTGTTACACTTATGAAGTCTGACAATGTTGAGGCCAGTTTACATTTGTTTCTCATTGTACCACAGAAAATAATCTAGAGGATTGTGAACAGATAATTCAAATGACCTATTACTGGCTGTTGAGTACTTGAAGGTTGTTTTGAAAATCAATGTACAGCATCATTTTGTCCAATATTATCATGAAAAAGTTTCATAGCAATGTACTTCCTTTTCTTGCTTACAGTCTTTTTAAAACCAATGAATGAGCTTTCAATTTTTCATAAAAATGTAAATAATGGCATAGATTGTGCTCCCTAGAAAGACCAATATTCACCTTTTTAGAAATGTATTTAAACTTCATTCTCAAATGGCTTTTCTCATAGATAATTATTTATAAAATTCACAAATGTGCTTTAACTCCTTTTAATATCGTAAAAGGTATTTCTGCTAAATCAAGAAGTAGCCCAAAGCATAACTGAGGCAGGGAATTGGCTTGTTTTCATTCACAGGTTGGAGAGCGGGCAACCCAAAGTTGCAAGTTACATAACTTTTGATTTTAAAGTCGTTTTCTGAGAGTGTTAGCCCACAAGAGTTGGAATTTTCCCAAGTCATTGCTAGTTACCTGGTTCTTTAGGACTACCTAGCATCCACATTCCAGTGGACTTTTTTTGCTGGTGCATTTCCAAATAATCTGCTGTCGTCTCTATGGAAGAAGGTTAAGGCTGTCAGGATGAAGGAAGTTAGTGTAATTATGTGACTCCATAAATTCTTAAAGATGCTGCAGATTTCTTAGAATAATGCAAAATTGGATATTTTGAAATTAATAGATGAATGATCAATGCTAAGTCATTTTGTGGAGTAATTTTAATCATTTGTTATTGTAATTCATGATTTGGCCAGGAAGGAGACCCAACTTGAAATGGCTGATAAATAGTATAAACCCAGTTTGTTGGCCATGTACTTACTTTAGCTTAAATCCAAATGCTTCTTTAATTTACTAGACCATAGGCTTTAGAACTTTGATCTTTAGTTGTAGAAAAGTGAGATGTGGTTTAAAACAAATGAGAATATCTTAACAGTGGGAGGAAGCCTCTCCAGAAATACAGGCACATACACACACACACACACACACACACACACACACACACACACGTGCATGTGCGCAATTGAAAGCTACAAGTAAATTTAAATGTACACAACTACTCAACTGTTCGATGAACACGTTTCATTTCTCTAGCTACTTAAGTCTGGTCTTGCTTTAAGCACTAGATTTTTGTTACTCACATTTGCCTATTTTTACTGATCTAGTGTGATATAGTGAAGTTACAGATAAAAACCATGTCCTCATTATTTACATATACTCCCCAGTAAACTGTGGACTGTGGCTGCTATCCTGCCATTCTCTGATGAGCAACTAAGAGAGGACATAATAATGATTCGAGGAAGTCTCAAGAGGCCATAGCAATGTTTTAGATATACAAAATATTTCTTAGTTTTAATTACAAATTTTTTTCATAGGATTAAAACATATCAGCCTAAGTGACAATGCAGGTCTCACTCTCGCCCTCTTTCTCTCATAAGAACAAATAGCTAACATATTTGAAAAACTCTGAAGCTATTTAATCTCATCAGAGATTTTAGAAGGTAATTTGCTTTACTTAAAATGGAATACATCTTCATTCTGTTATAGGAAAGTGTACCCCTACTCATTTTGTAAATCTAAGAGCAAATCCTTTCTACATTTAAGATTGGGATGATTCCCAGAATTGCCTACGAAACAAGTTTTTTATTTTAAATCATCACCCCCAAATAAAGTCTGAAACTACAAATTAGTTTTCACCTTGTAATCTAGCCTTGTACATTAGTTACCATTTCCTTCATATACTTGGTTGAAGGAAATGGTATGCAATTGGTTGAAGGTACCATTGTGATTCATATATTGATTAGTTTTACTAGCAACAAGTTTTATTGCATTAGCATTTTATTAACCTTGAATATGTAAAGTGAAATTGTAACAAGATTAAATATGGAGATGACATGAGGAACCTTTGTCTAGTACATAGTTGAATATCCGTTGTTATCTGTGAGATGCAAAGACCATACAGATTTTATATGTGTCTAAATTAGGTCTAAATATGCAAAAATTTCCACTAGTTTCTTCTCCCTAAAATTAAAATGAAACCAAACCCAATCAAGAAAACACTTTGTTTTCATCGTATAGTCATGCAGAATTAGATAATAGCAACTTCTAGTCATCAAGAAAAGGATTTCATTTTCTCTTTGAGTAGCTGAGTATAGAATTTTGTTATCTAATTTGAAATTTCAGATAGCTTAATATAAATTATCCAAATGCTTCCTTTTTTATCATATCAAAGTCATGTTGTGTAAAAACTCGTAACTCTAAATATATATATATCACCGAACCTTGTCAAAGTACCAAAAAATTGATACTTGCATAAACTTCATTTGATCTTCTGTGAAACACTGATTCATTCTTAAATGTATATTCTTTCTTAAAAAAAAATAGGAAATACCTCGAGTGACAGAAATACTTTCCTTTTATGTTTTATAATTCTAACTTACGTTTGAGTCTTAGTTTTCTTGACTGTAAGAGTTAAACAATAAAAAGTATAACTATACAATTTCTTGTGATCCTGTGACCTGATAATTTTTGAATATTTGCTTTTGTCTTAAAATGGAGAAATTTGAGTTGTCAAGGCCATTAATTATCTAAACCTTAGTTATTATTTAAATGCTTTGACTGATGTTAACTTATAAATAAATTGAAAATTTAGAAGTATATTCACGATGAAAATTGTATTCCTTACACCACTCCTACGTCTCCTTATTCTCCTCTAACTTTCCTTCGAACTTTGCATGGACAAAATTAAAAGAAGAGAAATCCTGCCTTTTAAACATTTTTCCTTGAAGTGTGTGCTGTGCTTTTGTCTGGGCAGCAATAAAATTTAGACAAATATGTTATTGGACCAAGTTCACTTTGCTGTAATTTTTAGGAAGCAGGTTGAAGTTTCCATGTCTAAAATATCACCAATTCCCTGGATCCATGTATAAAGCAAGGTTTACTGCTGTAAATAACACTATTGCAGCCCCAAAATTGGTACAATAAAACAGAATGCATAGTTTGAGATTGTTGCCATTTTTTATTTTGTTTGTCTATCATAAGTAGGTATATAGTCTATTGAAAGAATATTACTCAGGTTACATTCTGTATTAATGGGATGATATTATCTAAGAAGAGTTTCATAAAGCTTTCCTTTTATCTCCACCTGCTCACTTGAAAGATATTGGTAAAAACATTCAATAGACTAATAAATTCCTAGATTAGTAAGAAGACTTACATTAGGAAAGTAATCAGGTGATGCTGATATTTCTCATTCAAATGCTAATAATTCTTGGTCCTTAGCTGTTCAGTTCAAACAATAACTACTGTACCTGCTACAACATGTGAATATTAATGGCTTTATAGGTAATTCTGGGTTGGAGGATTAGTTTGAAAGCAAAACATTTCCTAACATGAATCATGACTCAGGTTATCCTCATGTGCTTTACTACCTGTGTATGAACACAAATGTTGTTACAGAGAATATGCTTGAAATGTCAACACAATGTGCAGTTAGCATCACATTGTCATGCTTTAGCATGCAATATCTGTATGGTGACATTGTTTCAGCTACTCAGACATGTGCTGTAATAAAGGTGTTTATCATAAGAAAGTTACAATATGTCATCAATTGCTTATTTCTGTTTCAAACATAGATACACACAGATTGTAGTAATAGAAGAGATTAGCATCCAGTTAAGCTTTCTAGGTGATATGTTTGCACAGTGATTTTTGCTGATTTTCAGACCACAATATCATGGGGATAGTGCTACCTGCTGTTAGGGTCAGATCAAGAAAACAAAATTGGTTCAGTTCCTCTCCTAGCTAGGCAGAAGGCCAACTGTTTTAAATTTTAGGACACATACCTTTCTAGAATCATAGATTATAACAACACGATTGCTAATCTGATTAGAGTTTTGTCAACATCTCAACCACGTACTTCATTTTTGTCAGATATTTATAATTTCATCATCATTAAAACAATATACTAACCTTCAAAAGGAAATATCTTAGTATACTGATTGTTCATAACATTGTTCTTTACAATTATGTAAAATTAATTTAGAATAGTTTTCCTTTATTCATTTACTGACTTCAGTGTGGTGCTGGGGATTGAATCCAGGGCCTTGCACATGCTTGAATGTGTTCTACCACTGAGCTACACTCCAGCCCAGAATAGCTTTCCTATAAAGAAAGGAAGCACTTTGGATAAAATTCTGTTGTGCGGTCAGTACTTTTTACTATGCATACCTTGCTTTTATAATTGACAACCAAATGATACAAAAGTTGACTTTATTATTTTTGGTAATGGGAGTTGAACTCAGGATCTTGCGCTTGCCAGGCAGGTGCTTGTGCCGCTGAGCTATATCCCCACCCCTAAAAGTTGACTTTAAATATAAATAATTTAAAGTGCCTACTATTCTTATGTGGTAAAAAATGGTGTCAATGAAGAGTTTAAAGTTACCCATCAAGAGATAAGAGCTTTTCAAAATATCATGATATATCTAGAAGAATTTGATGGCCATCTAAGAGCATATTCCTGTACACACAACAAAGCTTTTTGTGGCTGACCTACAAAACTGGAATTCATTCAAAACTTGTCATATTGGTGCAAGACATGTAATTTGTAATGTCATATTATTTTTTTGAAAAAGTTTTTTAAAGTAACATGGTAGCACTTGGTAACCCTTAAGTTTTGTCATACTGTCATTTCTGTTTAATCCTATCAAAAATGTGCTCAATTAATGGCCCTCTTTAAAAATACAGCACATCTACCATTCATTATATTTAGGGAATATATATATATAATGCTTTACAGTGACCAAAGCTGAAATATTTTACGCATCTATCAAAAATACTGAGATTTTTGTGGACTGCGTAGACTCTAATGTTAAACAGAAGTAGACATTCACCATTTTTGAAACATTATCAAGGCAGACTTCAATATTTGACATACTAATAGGAATGAGGAGTAAATTCCAACTCGTCTAATAATAGGTACAATGGACATAAACCCTTTGAGTATTAAATAATCACTGTAGTGACAAAAATTTTGAAAAGTAATCCCAAACTGTGTAGTTAAGCTTTGCTTTATTACAGCTCTGTTGCTGTTCATGTTAGAATAATTTTAAAATGATTGAGAAACATAATAAAATTAATTCTTAAACTTGCAGCATTCTGTTAAAGCAGTAAACATGCTAATATGTATATGTTCATAATATATCTGATTTAAAGGAAAAGTATATGACACCATATATGAAAAATCAAGAGCATATAAACCTTAATACACTCTAAGAAAATACCATTTCAGCATATTACCTCATTTTCGTTAAAATGATGAAAATGTGAACTCAGAAAATTACTTAGTCCCTAGGCTAAAAATAGGTAGAGCATCAAAACCTAATATTTTAAATTGGTATTTGTTCAGTATATGTTCTACATCATAATGTGAAAACTACAAAGGAAAACTCAAATTTGGGGAAGAAATTGAAGGGATTTTTAAAAATTAGCAAATTTAGTCAATTGTGTTTTGACTTCCTAAACCGAGCAATAGACTTGCTATGAAACATTTACTACAAACAAAGAATAAATACTTTCTTCAGCAATGACCTTGATTTTGTATTTTAGCTTCAGGGTACCTAGTCAAATATTACTTATGTATCCTTTTCAAATTTTTTCTTATATTTCTGTTTCTAAATTTCATCTTATTCAGGTCTGTGTTTTCTCATACAAAACTGCCACATTATTCTCAAAAAATGCTAAGTAAATCTTGCCCCTCCCCCTTTTTTACTAAAACAGTGAGTTCTTGATTTATAACAGTGAGCAAAACAGAGGCAGTTCCATATCTGCATGATTATTTACATGCTTGGACTAATATTTTTTTTCTTAGCAGTGTGGCCCAGTCCTACTGTCCTGCTTCTCTGAGCAGCAGGTAAATGATTACTTCTCTATATTCGGTGGCCATTCAGAACCTCTTGAGTATACGTGTCCTAGTAAATCTCAAGAAACCCACTGCATGACCTGGAATGTTCTAATGTTGATTTTGCTACTTCCTACACATGCTACAGCAATATGCAGATCTGACTGACTTACCTAATTGTTATTTGGGGGATTTAGGGTTTTTAGTTGCTGCGTATCACCATCACACTTTACCGAGTGGTCCCAAAGTTTGGGAAAATTTCAACCAAACTCTTTAAAAAGACTGGAGTTTTTACTTCAATAGCTTATTATTATTCATCTACTTTTCTCTTTTTCTTATATAGAGTTAATGCTTTGGAATAGGAAGTGGAGGATGTGGTTTCTAATTCTCGTGGTTCTATAAACTGGGTGAGACAGGGTCTTTGTTTCCTAAAAATAAATGCCAACTTGGTCTACATGAGTTTTGTTGTTAGAAAACTACCAAACACTAATCTCTGGAGTAATTTATTACAATTTCCTCATTGTCTGTATCAAATATCTGACCTATAATCAGAAACACCCTACTTTGTGATTCAGTCTGGTCGGGGTTATTGCTGATGGAAGAATCTGGACTAAGGAAAGGTGTTATAGGTTGCTAATCATCTTCATTCATTCAATAACATTTTGGATACACACTAAATTCCAGACACTGCACCCTCTAGGGCTCTTCAGGCAATGCGGTCAGAGCTGCAAGGTCACACTGGCTGGCTGGCTGACTGTGACTCACCGTCCCGAGCATAGAGCAGCTTCGCTGGCTTTCTGCATAGGTCCAGAGCAGTGTCAACCCCCCAGGAGGGCATCAGTGGTGGCACTCAGCTGAGGTGTGACAAGCTTCCTGTTGTGACCATCATCAGCCTGAAATGGGCGTGGTAGATGACAGAAGTGCACAGAGTAGCACCTGCTCCCAGGCCTTGGCAGAAGGTGCCCCAGGTTAGCAGAGGTGGAGATGAGCATGGGAAGGGCAGGATGTTCCTGATGTCCCTGCATGTGAGGAGTGTGGAAGGGGGCACCGGGGTGTGGAGAGAAGGTGAGTTCAGTTCGACACCTGCCAGGACTTTGCTATCCCGGTGACTCTTCATGCATAATATCTCAAAGTAAGTTCAAAGTTAGATTGCCAGTAATTTTAGTTAAACCCAAAATGTCTTTTTTATTATTTCCAATAAAGTAAGGTGGTGGTAAAAGAGTAGCTCAGACACCAGATGTTCTGGATTTCAATTCATTGGTGCCTTGGGCAAATGTTTCTCTCTGAGCTTCAGTTTCATTGTAGTAAAGTAGGGCTTTCTCTGTAGAGTTGGGAGGCTCTATAGAATGGGCACACTTCTCCCAGTAAATGTCTCCTCTTACCTCCCGCCCCATAGTGCCTTTCTCCACCATGCCGAGGGAAACACAAGTGGGAAGATTTGAGGGCTGCTATTCCCATCCAGGTACCCTCCAGTTGCCCCAGTTCCTTGCGCTCTCACTCCATCTTCCTCTTACAGGCAGCGTGTAAGTCGTGGACAAGAGGGCAGTTTGCTTACTCCTTCCCCTCAAAGTTCCTCTCCCTACTGAGATGCCAGTGCATGAGTAGAGGAAGAATTAAACTACCTGCAAGGGTCACACTGCAGTGTGTTCTTAGAGAACACTGAGTACAAACATCACAGAGTTACCGTGTACATGCTTTTTCTGAAACTAGAAGGTAGTCCTTAAAAATGATAAATGAAAGCGTTTAATTGGTGACTTCTGATTTTACTCAACAGGTCTTTATTGATGTAAAAGCAATCAGCACCAGCTACAGTAAGGGTACAATGGTCAAGTGCTACAGCTGTGTGTGCTCAGTGGGTAAAAAGAGCTCGTATTCTAGGTAGGAGACACATAGTCACTACTAAGTGACACCTGCAGTCAAGTTGTAAGACAGAGACCTGAGGCATTTGTGGGGGTGTAGCAGAAAGCATGAGGATCCTGCATGGGAGAGCTGACAAAGGTGTTGCTGGAGCACTTCTGGTGGGTTTTGATGTATGAACAGTGTCTTGAGCAAAAAGGAAAGTTCTGGACATGGGGAATATCACAGTAAAAGAGGCCTAGCTCACA